CCCCCCCTCCACACACACACACACACACACATGCACACACACACACATATACACTCACACATACATACAAACACGCACACATATACACACAAACACACACTCTCACACACATACCCCGGTATACCTGACTTTACTGTATATATGCCCTAGAGAGAGCAAAGGTTTTGAACACTATTAATTAAATCTGTTATCCATAAGAGGCAGTCAATGTACCAGTACAATAGTATGTGCAATGGAAAGAGTAGAAACATAGGTAGGTGAGTGGTGATTATATTGTTTCCACACTATGAAATTCTGACCACAGGCCACCATATGCAGTTGTTTTAAGGGTACAAATGAACACAGAACAGGTAGTTTGTTTTTAAGTTGATTGATTATCTAGTGCTAGAAGCCTGTGTATTTGCTGATTAACGCCTGGAGAACTGAATTGATTTTTACCCAGAGTTTAAAGATGTGATTATCTTGTATTCCCCATTGAGCTTAACTTTATTGGTTTCTCAAAGCACATATAATCAGATATACCTGTATATAAGAGATGGAGAAAGAAAGAAAACATTTATATGTTTAGTTTGAAGTGTTTCAATTATTTTATCAATTCCGTCAAATTTAAATATATACTACTGGAAGATTATAAAGTTCAGATTTTTTTTGTTGGAATCAACAGAAGTCCTGTAGCCTGCAATTTTGAAAGAAGGTTCCCCATAGTCTTTTTTCAGTCTATAAAAGTGGATCTTTTTACCCCCTTAAGTTGATCCAACTTGAGAAATAACATACAGCTTTGTTCAAATTTTGTGTCAAAATGGATTTTATCAAGCGAAAAAGGACAGTTCTTCCAGAACCAGCACACCAATCTCCTCCTATTGGCTATTTGTGTGTCATAGTACAGTGCAAGTCTCTGAAACAGCTGTCTTAAACCCCCTCTTGCGTAGCTCAGTGACAACTGCTTAACTGCTCACTTGTAGATAAAACTAAAACCATGCTTTCAACAATAACCACCTTAATTTATGAGAACACATTTGATTAATGAGCCGTAGGATATTTCAAGGATTGAAACTTAGCTGCAAAGTACAGTCATGTGTATCAAACACAGATTTGATAAGAGAACAGAAAGGTTTTCTGATAAGATTTTAACGTACTTAGCAAACGTGAAGTGAGCTGGAGGTAGTAAAGATTATCGCGTCAGTGCATCATATTCATTTGTCTGATATCTTTAAGCGCTGACTGCTAATTAGGGCCATTATTGGGATAAACTCCCAGGCATACGATACAGTAAACCAGTCTGGACCATTCGAATTATGCTACTCCAGTGTACTCACAATCAAGGTAAATATAATACCATATACCATTACTATTGTGCAGGATAGCTTTTCAAGTCTGCAATGTACCGGTATATGACTAATGGTTACTATAATATGTGCATTTGCTAGCTGTGAAAAAGGTTTTTTATGGTCTCTAGATAAAATTATAAAACAGATTCAGGCATTCAGCTGCTAAATCACTGCATTTATGTAAAAAAGATCTATAGATGGTGGATATGGCTCTCATTATTCAATTACCTCTAAGGCAGAAAAATAGCTGTTTTATCAATTTACTTACTTATGGAATCATTAAAAATATATTTCTATGCAGTATTATTAGTGTATAGAATAAAACTAGGGAGTCTGCTTTTCAATTGTGTTGCTATCGCTCAAAAGGAATGTACTACATGTAGTTTGAGGGACTTCTTACTTAAAAAAAACAGTTGTGTTTGTAAAATTCACAATTTTCCCCAGTTGAAATGATTGAGCCAAAAACCATTCCTGTACAGTGAGCTGTTTGGAATTTCCTAACTCAGAGTTTAATAATTTTTCTTTTAGAAATAATTTTACACATGCATTAAGAATTTTGGAAATTTTCCTTATATTCTTATGAGTACAATGAAATTTACATACATATGTCATTCACGAAGGCTTGTGCTCAGGCACAGTTACAATTACAGGTACTAGTACGTACTATGGCCCGGCTCTTCCCCAAGGAAGAACTGAATACCCCAGTACCAGTACATATTAACATGTCCAGTGCTAAAAGTGTATTAATTCTCAACAGTATTGCTGCTCCTCCAGGGATTTTACAAATAAAAGCCAATATATAACATGAACATGAGTACTGCAGGGTAAATTCTCAACATTATTTTGATTATTCGTGGATGCTTAATGGTATGTAAGGCCCCATTCAGAATGGATGATCCCAGTACTCACTGATCCGCTGACTAAATATGGCCGGCCACAGATCAAAAGCAATGCTGCTGATTCCTAATGGTCTCCCACACCACCACGCACCGTCGCAATAGGGGCCTAGCAATTAAACCTCGGAGCAGGAATTTAATCCGTTTAAAGGTGCATGCATGTAGAGTCTTGGAGACCATCAGGAATCATTGGCATTGCTTTGAACTGTGGTCAACCGTATTTAGTCTGTGGATCAGTAAGTACCCAGATCATCCATTCTGAATGGGACCTAATACACCCTGAATTCCAAATAAAACTGTTTGATGGTCCAAGATTAATGGTAAAAAGTATATCGTAGTTCTCTGATTACAGTAATTACTCGACCTTTTCAAAGGGGGAAAACTGTGAATTTAACAGATAATATTTTTAAGTCATTACATCTTAAATTTTGAACATTCCTATTGAGTGGTAGAAAAACAAAATTAAAAAGCAGGCTACTCTATACATGTAGTTTGATTCTCTGCAGTAAAAACAC